CAGCATGTACAAAATGAACATAAGTTGTGCTGTGTGGTTTTCTTCTGGTGTTTGATTATGTCTAATTTCAGCTATTTTGTCAATGGTTGACAGGTGATCAAGCCAGCAAAGAGAGAGTTATATTTGCTCGACCCTCTTAAGCCAGATGGCTTTGGGGACAATTCCTACAAGGACATATTTAGGTTTTTGTAACATGATTACCCCCTCACCGTTCTGTGGCTTGTATGGGAGTTCTAAATAGTTTATAGTATTCTAATACTGCAGTAACCATCTTGTAGACCAGGGGTCTGAATCTGATCAAATTCATTTATAATATATCTCCATTTCCACAAAGTCTGGAGTGTCCTTAGTGGAACCAAAAGAAAAAGAGTCTGCAACAGGATGCTATGAATTATAATATTCATTTTGTTATAAGCCTTGTTCAAAGGTTGTTTTCAAGTTCAGCTTTGTTCAGCGGCTGGTAAACGTATTTTTGTTTGTTTTATTTTAGCCCCGTTCAGTGGCTTTCATAACTTTCCTCTTTTAAGGCATGCAATAGTTCAATGTAAGGAAATCCAAAAACATGAATTATATTGTGTATAGCGTTCCTTCACCAAATCAATTCCCATGTCTTATCATTTCTTTTGACAGTGACCTAGCGCACCGCATTGCTCCAGGTCAGTGGACAGTAAAGTTCGGCAGAGACGTCAAGGTACATTTCTCCACCATCTCATACACCTGCTTTCACATGTCTTTATTTTCCATTTGACCATGAACATCACTGTTATATTCCAAATTCTTACAGGGTTAGCCTCACCAAACCACGGGCAATGACTGTGGTGTCTTCATACTGATGGTAAATTCCTCCCTTGACACTTTTTTTTAAGGGGTTTTGTTAGTTTTTGAAACTCATAACTTAACAGATCTTTATCCTTTCACAGTATGCACTCAACTTCAGCACAGATGCTCTACTTTGGTTTACCGAGGTCAGTATTTATCCTCTGAGTTAGTATTTCAGGGGGAAGAGGGGGCTAACATTGAGTAGACAAATGATGAGGTTCCATTCATTTTCAACTTTATTATTGTTACATTTTCTTTTAGCGGGACATAGCACAGATCCGGAAATGGTGGTGCATTATGCTCATGGAACGGTACCAGATTGAAGGGTAAATCATACATTTTAAATGTTACTTTATAGACAACAGTTTCTTTGACACTGATTTACATTTTCATCCTGATATTATGTGATTTTTATAGCCACGGACAGATCCAGATTATTTAACACATGCATACATATTGATAATTGTATACACATGTAATTAAACAATCACATGACCCACACCTTATATTTTCCTTCAAAGGTCCAGTTTCAAAAGTCCGACATGTGCTTCATATTGGAGGTAATATCTTTTCAGTGAAGCAGTAACTGTTTTTTGTTTAAAAAACGACCTGTGATCACGGCAGAATTTCCAACTATTATGTCTCACTGCTTTTTTTAACTTTATTGATAGCTGTTTTTTACCTCAAGGAGAAGAATAACAAAACATAAGAAAAATGTGTGTGATATATTCAACATTAATATTAAAAATGTGTATTTTTGCTACCTGAAGCCCAAAGAATCTTGGTATTTCGATTGTGCTGGCAACAGTCTAGTCAATGTGTTGTTAAATATGTTTGATCTAGTCTGACCAATACTTCACAGCTGCCAAACTGTCTTCTCTCGGACCTTCTGATGGAAGTGGTTCTCCAGGAAGGTGACAAAGCGTACTCATCACTCACTCTAGTGTGTACCACCTTCAGAGACACAATGTCCACTGTGTCTTTCAGAAGAGGGGCCCACTTTCGCTGGCTTGAGAGTAAGTGATTCAGTGAAGGTGCAGCAGTATACGACAGCTGTGGTGTCTATGCATATTTTTAATGGCTCTATTGAAATGCTTGTTTTACACAGGTGTTGCTACATGGAGTTTGTTCTCTGCTTCATACAAGCAGGATTTCAACGTCATGTACACCATTGACACCTGCCGTGGATGCTTGGAGCCTTACAAAAACTGCAAACCAGGTAGACTTCTTATTCTGGATAATAATGTTTATGTGTCATTACATATTTAGTGTGTTGTGGTCCTAGTGTGATTCAATTACAATATTTTCTTTTTCTATTCATAGGATATGTTGGGAAAGGTAAAAGAGGAGAATTGCAGGGCATCTACTCTGATGACCAACATCCAGGCTATTGCAGTCCCTTCTGCAACCAGATATCATAGGTAAAGATTAACTCACACAAACAAATGTCAGAATAGACTAAATTGTCACTGCAATTAATGAAGATCATCATTTGATATCTTACCTTCAAGTTTGGTTTTCCCGGACGCTGCCCGTCGTGGACTTCGGGTCGTGGACTTCGGGTCGTGGCTGAACCTGTCTCTGCAGTCCTGCCTTGGGTCATGCTGCTTCCCTGATGGCTTCCTCATATATTCTGAACAATCTGTGCTGTTTTCCTATCCACATGTAAAAGGAACTAGAAGGATTTCTTGATACTAAGGGCTGTAGAGAAAAGTTTGGAGCTTTTTCCATTAACGTTGAAGTTCAAATTCTCAATAAACACTTGAATGCTGTGCTGTCTTTCTATTTACTTGAATGTGTGAATTCATTCAGTTGGGTAGGTAAGCTTGGGATGGATATATGAAATATATACATACAAAAAATTAGAGACTCTTTCCAATGAAAGTAGCTAGCCGCAATAGCTCCAAGATTGCTATATCTAGTTTGTAGGTCGCCAAGTTGGCATCATTGACAGTTCGTCTCTTAAAGCCTCTAAAGCTCTGCAACAAAAAAGGATCATTATGAATGTAAATACTATACATGGTAATGCAGCAGGGCATAGTGCGATGAGGCAGGCAGGCAGAACCAGATTTATTTCTAAATATTTGTCGATCAATATTAGGCTACACTAATATAAGGCTACTAGTATTATGATATTACTGCAATAATATTCCAGTGGTGGCTGCTTAAGGTTGTTTCTGGCTCGTTTGATCCAAACATTGTCCAAAGCTCAAAATGTATTGTAATAGATGTAAGAATTCTCAAAATGTACAATATGTTTTGATCCAACACAATATTCTGATTCAATCCATATATGTTAGGGTTTTTTTTTTTCACCAAAATAAATAGACTGCCTTCTCTCCAGCTCACCGCACACAAAGGGGGGGGGGGGGGGGGGGGGGGGGGGGGGGGGGGGGGGGGGGGGGGGGGGGGGGGGGGGGGGGGGGGGGGCATCTGTATTAACGGGTCAGTCTATAAGCACTCTAATAGCACCATAAATTACATTTAAATAACCACAAAAAGACAATTATTGTTTCCGATATTGATTTAACGAGATGCTGTTATAACATGGAAACGGCTTAATTTAAAAAAATAAGCTTCAAAAATGTTTTATGAAGCACACTGGGTACAGCCCTGTAATACATGTGTTCCGTGTGTATATAGTCTTACGCAAGAAACACATAGCATGAACAGACTGCAACAAAACCAGTCTTACAAAACAGACTTCTGCTAAACTGGTGCAGAAGCAAAGCATCTACCTTAGATGAAGTTCACACAGAACTGTGGAAAAGGGAGAACATCTGTACTTGCTTTCAACGACATGATCAGGCTTATATATTATAAAAGTGTTGGCTAAAGTAACGCAGAATATATATATTTTTTAATTGTAAATAATTAAGTACACACACATAACAAGCTGTACCGAGTTCCTCCGGCTGCAGTTCCGCAGACGGCCGGTGTGTGGCAGCATAGCGCTGGGAGCAGAGGGAGGTGAGTATATGACGGATATGACGGATGACGGATGCGACGGAAATACACCCGAACATATTTGGTAGGCCGAACATATCTGGTACTGACAGCGGCATTCTATTATTTTCGTCACAGGGATCCGGGGCGTGTCCATTGTGGACTTACCAGGAAATAAACATGTCGATCGCCTCGTTTGTCGTTTACATTCATCTTTTGCTATATCTGCCTTCCTAACATCACTTTGATGCACATTCACTACTCCTATGTGAGGTTGTGGGTGAGAGGTTGATATCGTGACGCTTCCAGGGATGTATCGGAAGTTACAAAGTAGGTGACTGTGGATGCCTGCTCAAAACATTACACACTTCAATAAATCATTTAAATTATATATTTGTGTCCGACTTTCATTTGTACATCGTTCTTAATGTGATTTATATTAGCTTTGACCTTCAGACAGCCTCAAAGTAAAACACAATAATAAAAATGCTTGTCCTTTGTTAAACATGAAGCTGTCTTTGGCTCTTTTCTTCTGTAACACAACCTATGTGGGGCGAATAAAGGTATTCTGATTACATTGAACCTGTTGTGGAAAAATTATTTATCAAATTGTTATGAAACAAATGAGATAAATATCGCTGTGACACTGATGTCACATCGGGACATTAACCCTAAACATTCACAGTAAACCCGGAGTGACATATGCACAATTAGAAATATTATTATGATCTGCTCAGTTAATTTAGTTAATATATTCTGGACTTACTTTTCTGTGGTTTACGGTACTGTGACATATCAGTATTATTAGCCATGGAAGATAGTTTGTTTGTTTCATTCCAAGCTATGCATCAAGGTTATTTTCATGTATGTAATTTGTTTTCCTGCACAGTGTAGAGTCTTGTTGTGATGAGAGGGATACAGGTATTTCATACAAAGACTTGCTCGCTGGAGAATAGCTACAGAATTGATATCACAATTGGATCGGAGCTGATCACAGCTTGTCTGATGATCCAGTCACCTCGATGCTGCTTTCGGGCTGTGAATAAACAACTTGTATTTTACTTTGAGGCTGTCTGAAGGTGTGGACAGCTATCAAATATACTATACATCACATTAAGAACGATGTACAAATGAAAGTTGGACACAAATATATCATTTAAATTATTTATTCAAGTTTGCAATGTTCTGAACAGGCATCCACTCAGTCACCTACTTTGTCATTTCCGATACCTCCCTGTAAGGGTCGCGATATCGAGCTCTCTCCCACCACCTCACATAGGAGTAGTGAATGTGCATCAAAGTGATGTTAGGAAGGCAGATATAGCAAAATATGAATGTAAACGACAAACGAGGTGATCGACGTTTATTTCCTGGTAAATCCCCAATGGCTCCTCAATGGACACGCCCCGGATCCCTGTGACGAACATAACAGGATGCCGCCAGTTGTCATGACTCCAGTTACACTGTAACACCGTGACTGGGGAACATTGTATTAGTGTTTATGATTGAACATTTTATTATGTTGAGATTAATGCTAGATATTAACGGACACGATTCAAAGTGTCAAATGAAAAATTGTGCATAGAATGACTATCTAACTAATGTCTGAATGAGTCATTATCCCAAACCATGTAACTTTGTTATTACTAAACTAATGATTCTAATCTTGGCCAGTGTTTGTTGGTAACAAATGTCAAAATATAGAGGAATGAGCACTTTAGTGAAGAGTGAGGTGGCTCTTAAAAGAGCCTTTGGGTTTGTGTGGGCTGGCTTCGGGTCAGTCTAAGCTCTCTCTCCGCGGATGCGGCGGGCCAGCTGGATGTCTTTGGGCATGATGGTGACCCTCTTGGCGTGGATGGCGCACAGGTTGGTGTCCTCGAACAGGCCGACCAGGTAAGCCTCGCTGGACTCCTGCAGAGCCATGACAGCGGAGCTCTGGAAGCGCAGGTCGGTCTTGAAGTCCTGAGCGATCTCCCTCACCAGGCGCTGGAAGGGCAGCTTGCGGATCAGCAGCTCGGTGGATTTCTGGTAGCGGCGGATCTCCCTCAGAGCCACGGTACCGGGCCTGTAACGGTGAGGCTTCTTCACTCCGCCGGTGGCCGGGGCGCTCTTACGAGCAGCCTTGGTGGCCAGCTGCTTCCTGGGGGCTTTGCCTCCGGTGGACTTACGGGCGGTCTGCTTGGTTCTTGCCATTGTAGTTTCTCCGTGTTCACAGTTCAAGACAGTATAACCCTCGCCGAGAACAGCGGCTTTATAAAGGAACTGCCGGAGTCAGGTCAGCGCTGATTGGCCCAGGGAAGATGACACGTGCGCTGTAGCTTATCAACTATTCGACGAAAGTAATTTGAAAAACGAAGCCTCTTCTCAACAGAAGATGCACCGCCAAAAACAAGTGAGTGAATAAGAAAAGCAGCTGCCCTAAAGGCCTCTGATTGAATACCTTTGTTTAGTTTAAAGTGAGACTAAACAAAGATAGCAGATTGTTTTTACTCTCTGTAAATAATAAACTAGTATTTGTTCCATGAGCCTTTAGAGGGGATATTAAGACATACCTGTTAAAGCCTCACTGTTTTATTTGTACTTATGAGTGAAAGGTTAACAATAGTTATTCTATCAAAATACATCAACAAGCAAAGTCAGAGTTAACCATAACTCTGACTGCTACCTTGTCCTGAAAGGCAAATCTCCCAAAATACAATATCTAGTTTAACAAACAAAAAAAGAAAAGGAGTTTATAAATTCATTTACACACACAAAAGTAGTCACCTTAAAACACACCAATAACATTAAGAAATCATATTGAATTAACTGAGAAAAAGTGCAGAAACTGAAGCTTTCCATCTGTTGTCAATTACACAGTCAGCACTGTTTGATATGGAGAGAGATATATGCAGGGTGCTTTTGCTGACTGACAGCTGTTAATGTATTTATTTATGTTTAATTATTATAAAAATGTTCTACAGATAAAATAAATGACCTTTTCAGAACAAAGCAATCCATGCAACATTTAAATTAAATAATTGAAGATTGGACACTGGTATAATAATATTCAAGTATGGAAACAGAAATAAAGCAAAAGAAACAGTTTGGAAGATAATGGCATGAATCTGTGGATGAACGGTGGCTGTAGTGTGTGATGGGCTGTGTGTGCTGTGGGCTGGTTATAGCGCTAACTACACTTCTGGACTTTGTACATATTCAACAGTACTGTTTCTGTTAATCGGATTGCCCCTTAAGTATAATAACCATGACATTATTTGAATATTAAGGTTATTCATTATTATCAAATTGCACATACTGTCTCGATGTCTGAGATCAAACATGTTCATACTAGCAAACGTGTTCATAATAAGACGTTTTGCATCTCGTCTCTCATCTTATTCTGACTGCAGTTATTGACACAAGAAATATGCTCATTATGACAAAATGGGTGGCTCTTAAAAGAGCCTTTTGTGGATCTTAGTCAGATCAGTCTGATGACAGCTCACTTCTTCTTGGGTGCTGCCTTCTTCGCTTTGGGTTTGGCGACCTTTGCGGGGGATTTCTTGACTGCAGGGGCCTTTTTCACCACCTTCTTGGGGCTCTTTGCAGCCTTTTTAACGACCTTCTTCGGGCTTTTAGCGACCTTCTTCGGGCTCTTGGTGGCCTTCTTGGGAGCTGCTTTCATGGCTGCTGCGGGTTTCTTCGCCTTCTTGGGAGACTTCTTTCCTGCCGCGGGCTTTTTGGCCGCTGCAGGTTTCTTGGCTGCGGGCTTCTTGGCTTTAGGAGCGACTTTCTTGGCTGCGGGCTTCTTGGTCTTAGGCTCGGCAACCTTCTTGCTTATCTTGAATGATCCGGACGCTCCGATGCCCTTGATCTGGACCAGTGTCCCATTAACGACCAGGATCTTGATGGCGGTCTTAACGCGGGAATTGTTCTTCTCCACATCGTAGCCTCCGGCAGCCAGAGCCTTCTTGACGGCGGACAGAGACACGCCGCTTCGCTCCTTGGATGCGGCCACAGCTTCAACGATGAGATCGCTGACTTTGGGGCCAGCTGCCTTCGGCTTGGAAACCTTCTTCCTGGCGGCTTTGGCCGGTGCAGCGGCTGGAGGGACTTCTGCCATTTTCTGCTCAAGTGTTCTGTTCCTGTTCACACTAACACGAGTCTGACTGAACTGCTGGAGAGAGCAGAGCAGGGGCTGCCCTTAAACACACCATGAGAACCGTGGAGACTCAACTAAGCCCATGGCGCCACTCTGCAGTCTGAAAACTTTACCACTTGTGTTTTCTCTTCACTGATAAAAGCCTCCAAAGTCATTGTGGAAAAAGTGCTGAAGGCTGACTGTTAATGGAACTGATAGCAGACTTGATTCGCTTCATTTTGAAAGTATGTATAGCTCTGATGCTCACTGAATTTTGTTTGTGGAGCTTCCAATCGTCACATTTCCCCCGCTGTGGACAGCACTGTTCAGCTGCTTATCCTCTAATTCTTCTACTGAAAACATTTCAAATGCACCAAATCTTTGATAAAAGCTGTTTTCAAGTTACCCACATGTGTGTCCAGGGACTCCCTTTAAAAAACAGCTGTATTTTGTTTATGATATTATAATAAAGTGACGTTTTCTGGTAGGAGCAAACACACTGATGATCCGGGGCATAGGGTGCGGTTTAACCAGGCTTCCCATTAAAGTTGCTCGCTGTGAACATGTCTCCAGGTGAGGAGGACTCATTTCATTATACAAAGTTAGGCTATTAATTATATCAAACAGCGTGGCAAATACAGCCTAGTTAAACTGTTTGGGAGGCTGTGGCTCAGTGGGTAGTGTGCTGGACTTCTATTCAGGGGGTAACAAGTTCGAGTCCCACTGCAGTCAGCATGTCGTTGTGTCCCTGAGACACTTCACCCCAAATTGCTCCTGTGGGGATTGCCCACAGTATTGAGTATGCAAGTTGCTTTGGATAAAAGCATCTAACAAGTGACATGTAATGTAATGTTTCACTGACACTCATCAGAAACTTGATGCTGATTTAATGGGCTAATTAAAATATAAAAAGGACAAGAGTGGCTTTCAAGGGGCACTGATCTGTAAATGTAAACTTGACATTGTTTCCCTTATGTTACACACACTATGTATGAAATGTGTGCATACATAATATCTTTTTTTTCATTTCCCTATTTCAATTACATGTTTACATTATGTTAGAACAATGTACTTAATTTTGTTTAGCTCTTCAACATGAGGTTTCTTATGATTATAACATTAAAAATATAGTTCTATATGAGGAAATGCAACAGCATCAAATAACCAACTTCTTTAAGAACTCTTAAGTGGAACAATAACTATCTCAGCTCATATTGTTCTTATGTGTTTTGTTTACCATCAACTGGAACATGTATCTACTGGTACATGTTAACAAGATGATAACGGCTTACAGCTAATGAAAAACCAACATTCAGTTTCTCAGAAAATTATAATATTACATAATTGATAAGTCATAATAATACCGAAATGTCAGCCTTATAAAAAGTATGTTCATGTTTCTGCTCTCAGTACTTGGTTGGGCCTCCTTTTGCACAAATGACTGCGTGGCATGGAGGCGATCAGCCTTCGACTCTGCTGAGGTGTGATGGAAGCCACGGTTGTTTCAATAGCGCCCTTCAGCTTGTCAGCGTCGTTGGGTCTTGTGTCTCTTATCTTCCTCTTGACAATACCCCATACATTCTCTATGGCGTTTAGGTCAGGCGAGTTTGCTGACCAATGAAGCACAGTATGTCCATGGTCATTCAACCAGGGCTTAGTAATGTTGGCAGTGCCAAGTCCTGCTGGAAAATAAAATCAGCATTCAGCTTTTCAGAAAAAGGAAGCATGAAGTGCTCTAAAATGTCCTGGTTGACGGCTGCGTTGACTTTTGACTTAATAAAACACAGTGGACCAACACCAGCAGATGACATGGTTCCCCAAATCATCCCTGACTATGGACTGTTCACACTGGACTTCAAGCATCTTTGATTAGGTGCCTCTCCATTCTCTCTCCAGACTCTGAGACCTTCATTTCCAAATTAAACGCAAAATGTATTTTCATCTGAAAAAAGGACCACTGAACAAGAAACCAGTTCCTTTTCTCCTTAGGCCAGGTAAGATGCTTCTGAAGTTGTCTCTGGTTCAGGAGTGGCTTGACACGGGGAATGCAAACGTGTAGCCCATGTTCTGGTAAGTCTGTGCGTGGTGGCTCTTGAGGCACTGACCCAAGCGACCGTCAACTCCTCGTGAAGCTCCCCCCTCCCCATTGTTTAATGGCTTTTGCTTTTAATCCTCTCAATTCTTCGGCCATCTCTGTTGCTTTTGCACTCAACTTTCTATGAATATACAGCACTCTGTGAACAGCCAGTTTATTTATCAATGACCTTTGGCCAATGACTCTCTTCTGGACAACTGTCAGTTCAGCAGCCTTCCCCATGATTGTGTATCCTACTGAATCAGATAGAGACCATTTGAAGGCTCGGAAAACCTTTGGAGGTGTTTTGAGTTAATTAGCTGATCATAGTTTGACACTGAGTCTACAATATTGATATTTTTTTTCGATATTCAAATTTTCTGAGATACTGCATTTTGGGATTTCATTAGCTGTAAGCCGTAATCATCAAGACTTCAAACTCTTGAAATAATTCACTTTGTGTGAAATGAATCCACGAGACTCACTTTTCCGATGTATTGAGATATTTCAAGATTCAAGGCTCTTATTGTCATGTGAGCTCCAGTGCAGTTATGAGAATAACATCTTAGGTCACAGGCTCCTCCAAAAGAGCAACACAATAAGACTTATAAAATAGTACACGTGAATAAAAAAATCGAAACAGAATGATAGAAACTGTGCAGAATAGTCGATACAGTAATAGGAATATTTATGATATGCGAGTTGCAAACCAGTATTATATATAGATATACCTGTATTTACTGTGAGTACGTCCAATTGCAACAATTTAGGTCATATCAGCTCTACAAGTCAGTAGATTCCACTAATCCGTTGAAATGTTCCCTACACTTTAAGTCAAAACATATACACATTGTTATCGCTTTTGCAAATATATCAGTTGTTTTGACCACAAAGCGTAGTCGTAGTGGTATTTCCATAGTTAATGTCCTTGTCCAAATGTTCATTTGCAAGGGATGTTATTTAAGTAGTTATATTTAGATCCTGAACATGTTTTTCAGAGAAGACACAATACTCTCGCCTGCACCAACTTCTAGTGCTCACTAATGCGGTATCATGAGGGAATGGAGCTCTCTAATTTGAGGATATGGGTGGCCCTTAAAAGGACCTTTGTGTTTTTGTGGTCAGATGGTGAGTATTTAACCTCCGAAACCGTACAGAGTGCGGCCCTGCCTCTTGAGGGCATACACCACATCCATGGCGGTCACGGTCTTCCTCTTGGCGTGCTCGGTGTAGGTGACGGCATCACGGATCACATTCTCCAGGAAGACCTTCAGCACCCCGCGGGTCTCCTCGTAGATCAGACCGGAGATACGCTTCACTCCGCCGCGGCGAGCCAGACGGCGGATAGCGGGCTTGGTGATTCCCTGGATGTTATCACGGAGAACTTTACGGTGACGCTTGGCGCCTCCTTTGCCGAGTCCCTTTCCTCCTTTTCCTCTTCCACTCATTTTCAAGTCTTGTTGGGTCGGGTCGTTCAGAACGAATGGGTAGAAGCAGTTTGACCGGCAGTATTTAAATATTCACTGCGGACCGAAGAGAAGACGGAGAGCGGGAAAGCTGCTAGGCGGGGCCAACGCTGCAGCCTCCACAACATTCAGGGGGAAAAGTATATAATTCTTATATAATAATTTGATGATTAAACGTCCGTTAATATGTACTAAAACCCTCATATGCTTGATTACATTTATAATTCAAATGAGACCATTCAGCACCCCTCTCTGTAATTAACATTAGATTTAAAGTATTACAAAAATACTTTTGAGATCATATACTTGTCTTACAATATACATGTATCTATTATTTCCAGAGGTGGGAGAAGTACTCAGATCTTGTACTTGAGTAAAAGTAGAAGTACCAGAGTGTAGGAATATTCTGTTACAGTAAAAGTCCTGTATTCTAAATGTTCCTCAAGTAAAAGTACAAAAGTATCATCAAAATATACTTAGAGTACCAAAAGTAAAAGTAGTCATTGTGCAGATTGGTTCATTTCAGAATAATATATATGATATGTTTTATAATGATTGATCATGAAAGTGTTCTCAAAGCTGGTGAAGGTGCAGCTAGTTTGAATGACTTTGTATACTGCAGGGTAGCTTGTGAATGTATTCCAGGTGGAACTAAAGTCTGATTTAACACTTGATTATATTTCATATCATTCATCCACATCTGTGAAGTAACTAAAGGTATTCAATACATGTAGTGGAGTGAAGGTACAACATTTACCTCTGAATTGTAGTGGAGTAGAAGAACAAAGTAGCATGAAATGGAAATACTCAAGTAAAAATTGTTCTTAAGTAAATGTACTTAATTTCTTTACATCACTGTTCAGACGGTTAATATTTAGCAGGGGCAAGATATCATATTAAACTAATTATTCATAACTATTAATAGTCAAAGTTCGGATCATCATGATGTAAAAACTCAAACTTCCTATGATTTACTTCAGAAAAATTAGACATCTATCAAACTGAGATACAACATTAGAAAACATCTTTATTTAACACTTTTGGTCACATTCATGTTATTAATGACAGGAAATCAGATAGTGATCATCATTAGAGGAGCTGTGCAGACTTCAGACTCTGCAGAGCTTCAGGGGAAAGTTCTCTGTGATCAGGTGATCATCATGAAGCACCATCACCACGTTCACCTCAAACTCTGAAAAGACAGAACAATATTTAGTTAAAAATACGTTTAGGCACCTCATAGTATGTCAGAAAAATAAAATGTAAAAGTCATACTACACATATATAGTATGTGGTAGTAAGTTTTAAAAAGAGTCATATGATAGTTTGTCATAAAAACACAGTATTGTATGTTGAAATCATAGACTGTATATATAAATCAAGTTGTGTTCCCTGGATGAACTGAGCAGGCAGAGTCCCTGTAGCTAGCTTCACGGAGCAGCTAGCAGAGAGACAAGAAGCTAGCAGCAGCAGTCACTTGACAGAGCTGTCACTCAATGTGACCACGCCCTAATTTTTGCAAAAACTTTAAGACCAACACATCCTCACTCCCAGGTCGGCCTATGTTGACGTTATGTCAAGTCCCCTGTCGGCTTTTTCCAACGCAAGGGGGGGGGCCTTAGCGTCCATTTTCAACGCAAGGGGGGGGGCCCTTAGCGTCCATTTTCAGCTTTCCGGGATGTCCATATGCTTCTATGGACGCTCATGGAAGCACGGCATTCGTTTGTGTCGACTGCCCTTAAAGGCAATGTGAGCGTCCATTCTCATTGGATAACGGAGAATTGTACACCCGGAAGCAAGTATTCCCCTTACTGTCGATTGATTTTACAGTGATATCTGCACTACTCATCGACTAAAAAACACCAGATTATCCTTGTTAATTACACAACATTGATTGGTTTAAATTGTGTGCAATGCTTTTGTATTTTTCCCCTTTCCCCTTTCCCCCTGAGTAGTGCAGATATCACTGTAAAATCAATCGACAGTAAGGGGAATACTTACTTCCGGGTGTACAATTCTCCGTTATCCAATGAGAATGGACGCTCACATTGCCTTTAAGGGCAGCCGACACAAACGAATGCCGTGCTTCCATGAGCGTCCATAGAAGCATATGGACATCCCAGGAAAGCTGAAATGGACGCTAAGGGCCCCCCCCTTGCGTTGAAAATGACGCTAAGGCCCCCCCCTTGCGTTGGAAAAAGCCGACAGGGGACTTGACATAACGTCAACATAGGCCGACCTGGGAGTGAGGATGTGTTGGATATTGGCTATATAACTAAACTTTGATTGATTGAAAAAACGATACTATAGTATGTCTTAAAACACACAGAGTATGTTGTAAGTCCAAAATAGTCTAGTATGTATACTAGTTTATAATTGATCACATATTATACCATATTAGTAGAGTAAAAAAGAGAATGAATACAGTCATAGGAAAAATGTCAGTATGTCAAAAAAAGGTTAGTAGAAACAAATGATAAGAAAGTAATTTGGCAGAAATAATTAGAATTTTAGAAAAGAATGCTATCCAAATATTATAGAATTATAAAGTATAGAGTAGAATGGGAGGGATGAAACCCTCTTTAATGGTCACACAGTGAAGTTTGGCCTCTGCTTTTAACCCATCCTAGTACCAGGAGTCTAGTACTAGGAGCAGTGGGCAGCTATTGTGGGGGGGGGGGGGGAAGTGTCCGGTGCCTTGCTCAAGGGCACCACGGCAGGGCAGGAGGTGAACTGGGAGCTCTCCAAGTAGCAGTCCACAGTCCATATTTAGGTCTGTTCGGGGACTTGAACCGGCGACCCTACGGCTCCCAGTCCAAGCCCCTACTGACGGAGCCACTGCCGGACCTAGTACTCATCAAAGGGGGTATTTTTTTTAACTCATAAAGAAGCAGCTTTGTCAAAGAAGCAGTTTAATGGATGAATTTATGTTTACAATATTTGACTTCCACCACTGTTTGGATCTACAGAGCTGAATCCCAGATCAAATGCACGCTGAAGGCTCTTTGCGCAGGTTTTCTCTCAGTGATTGTGCTGTTACGTTAAATGTTTGTTGTTTGTTTTTCATCTACTGTGTCCTGATATGTGTCCATGTTGATGTTACACATGGAGCTGCTGTGATGCAAGTCACATTTCAGACTTGATCTGACCAATAAAGTATTATCGTTATCGTATCGTAAAGCAGCTCGACTTCACTGACCGACTTTGAAGTTGGTGGTCTCCAGCGTGGGGCAGATGAAGAGGCGGGGGAACACCATGTAGATCGGGATGGGGAGGCCGTGGCACACGTCGCCTTCAGCGATCTGGATGTTCTGGATCTCCGTGGCGTCTCTGGCGTAACCTTCAGCACAACCTGAACGCACCGGACATTAGTAGCAGTCGAATATTATTTTATGACCTGGGTAAAATGACCCAGAAGTACGTGAGAGGCAGCCATGATAAAAGCTGTTTGAACGCTCTAGAAGAGAAGGCGCTTCAGTGCTTCATAATGTAGTGAAGTAGAAGCAGAACGTAGCAGGTATTGGAAATACTAAGTTTAAAGTAAACATACCACCGATTTCTGATTTGGGTTTGAGCAGATGTGGGAAGTAACTAAGTACATTTACTCAAGTACTACCTGCAGTTTGAAATTGCCAAGAAATAAGTCTTTGAGTTTCTGTTCAAATCTCTAAAATTACGCAATTTTCCTTTAAAGTTGATCAAGATTTGTCTACTGAAGGTGCTTTATTGTTTCCTTTAGCAAAGGGTATACTAAAACATCCTTTACGAAATGCAGGAGGAAAGGCTGCCGCGACATTTAAAGTTATCTTATGGCTTAATTTGCTTATTTCAACACTTACAAAAAGGCAAACTATAAACGTTACACTTATTACTGTACACTGATCATATAGAGTCAATATTTCGCAGTGAATACTGAGTTGTGGGGGTTTCTTGAGTCTTTTTATTTAATTCAACATGTTGTAATGGTGATATGAACCGGACTAGAAGCCTTACAGGTTACGCATAAAATATATGCAAGCGGAGACAGGGGTAAGTGCGAGCAACCGTTCCCTTTCACTTTGCTTTTTTAATTTCAATTCAAACCCTGCTTATTAAGTTATATATTTTTCAGAGTTACCCACGATCATAAAGCTAGCATGAAACAGCATCATAAGCTCGAATGGGGCAAATTGTCTAAATGTGCTTTTGTTGACCAGCTACAGAATAATGTATTGCGTCCCCCAGTGAATGCGGTCTCTTTTTCGTAGTCCTGATGAATTCTGCGTCACTTATTTCATTTTAACCCCAAGATTTGTTTTAAAACCACCAGACTCAGGGACAGTTTCATCCCACAGGCCATTAGACTGTTAAACACCTGAACTTTCACATCCATAACATTCACCTATTTGTAACTTACAAATGATGTATCATTTGTATATAGACTCTTATGGCACTACTTCTATTCTATTTTATTGCATTTACTTGTACTATTTTATCTGTTTTATTGTGCTGCACTGTTGGAGGAGCCTGGGACCTAAGATTGTCATCGACATAACTACACTGTAGCTCTGTACGAATGACAATAAAAGCCTTGAAACTTGAATCTTGAGGTTAAGGAAAAGGGGTTAAGAAGAGACATAGGACCCGTCTTTTTTTACTATTTATTGTAACCGTAGAAAAACCCATCAGCCGTGCCGTTAGAGAACAGAACTGTGAACTCACCGCAGGTCTCCACTCTCACCAGCTGCAGCTCGATGCTCTTTATGGGGACGTCAGAGTTCTCCACCACCAGCTCTCCGGTCAGCGGCTGGCTGATCACGCAGTTGGTGGCGTCTAGCTTCCCTCTGACCAGAAACTTTGGCACGGCACTCCTCTGAGGGCAGGAAGCAAAGTCAACTTTATTGTCAATCTTTCAGTTTGTGTTCACAGACAGAGAGATCGAAGTTACTTTGTTCAGACTTATGTCAAACAATTTAAACAACCAAGAAATTAAACTATTCTAGATAGTATGCTAACCCTAACCCTAAATAAAAGTGTGGTTTGTCGAA